TAATGGAGCCGCAAACGATCGTTTCAATAGAAAGGCTTTGGCCTACAAGCTACTTCGTAATTGATAAAAATAAGACTAAACGACTATAGCTAGCTTATCGTCCCGCAAATCACAGTTTAAGGTATTTAATTTCCAAAAAATGACAGCAAATACAGCTTCGATATAACAATCCTGAACAAGGGCCTACAACAGTTGTAATTACAGATTCCTGTACGAGGTGCATGGCTTGTACAAATAGAGTGCCGAATGAATATTAATGAATCCCAGATATTATTTCTGCATAGAAGTAAGATTGAGTTTTTTTAATTAAAATCTGAATTATTATTGGGCGGCTGCTACGCCACTGGGTTAAAGTAAACACTCACCACATGCTATACGTTGCTTTGGCATGTATTTACCCGCATATTTTATAAACGAAATAGGTTAGCGAATAAATGCATCTTGTCTATACGCGAATCCAATAGTGAAGCCATAATATTTCAGTGTTGGTCACCAACGAGAGTTTAAAACGTTAAGTTGATATGGCCGACTGCAACGAAACACAATGCTCGAAGTATAAGTGATCATTTCAATGCATTATGGAAATCAAAATGTAGGTAGAATTTCATGCTAATCGAAATTTCAAACAAAACTATCAGCCGGCTTTAGATGTACGAACAGCTTTTGGTCATGAATAGGCGCTTCACATATATGAAACATGAGTTTCTGATATATCAGGCACTTCATCGTTATACTTTTAGAAGTCATTATGTGCCTAGTAATTACTCGTGGTCATACATATATTATGCTGCCTTAAGAGCTTCATTGTATTAATAAAAAGAAATTAGTATGTCTTTACTGTCATTAATGAGCTTAAAGCGGATTTAGCACGAATTCGTAAGTATTGCCTTTATAACAATTGGGGCGAATGATGTTTTGGGTTATGATGAAGATCCTGTCATTTTCAATTTATGACACTGTGGTTGAGTTTCTACTCGCAGCTGTACCCCCTCTGTAATATTAGCGTTTTTGATTCTTATGTTTAAAGTAAGAGCAGAAAAATGGATACATGAATTGCTCTTTCTCCTACATTTTTTACAATGGATCAGGTAATGCGTGCCTATATGCCAACGACAAATCTTTTGCATTATTTAGTGTTCACATTTCCGTATTCAATAAATGTTAAGCCTTTCATCATATGCAACGACTTTTTGACAGCAAAATGACCGTATGTACAAAATGCAAAACCGTATATTTTATTGAGATGATAAGATTTTATCAAGAATTCGCCAGATGTTTATTCTTCTTAGGAGGATACGGAATTACAATACGTCAAAAACGAAGTAAAGTGTGCCCAAAGGTGAAGCAATGGTGCATTATATGCTAAAAGTTGTTTAAGATCGATCTGAGATACAAATGCATAAGATGGTCATATACAATATCCTATATATCTTCTACAATTTCTCTCCTTTTTCCACTAGCATTCACTTCAGTTGTAACCTCCGAAAATCATTTTGCTGAAAATAAAGCTGTGCCGCATTGCTTCAATCATAAACAGGATTTTTTGTTTACAATTTCGCCATCGCTACGTGCTATTCAATGTCTTGTACGAATATGGCATGGAAGAGCTGTCACCTTTTACTTTATTCGAATCGCCAATGTGGCAATTAAATTGCTGCAAAAGATTAATGAATGAATGCAGCTTAAGATGACGAATAATAGGTTGATTAATTAAAGATTTCACGCTGGAGAGCTAGTACAAACTTATGGAAGAGATTGTGGTGATGTATCGATATTTGTCGACTCAGCAAGTATGATTTGCGCTGCCGAATCAGTTCAAGCTGAAAAGTGGCACGAATCTATAGCTATTGCTATTGATGTTGGTGGTGGTCTGTACTTTGCCGTCCAATAGCTGTGGATCGGGTGCAACATTTCTATCTTTCATGAAGACCATTAAGAACAAGTATATATACATCGGTCATCCATTGGGATATCGATTGTTTCGCGTAGCACACTCGCCTTCTACTATTCTAAAAGTCCAGTTATATAATTCAAACATTGGATAACAAAAATACGGGACAATCACGTCATTAGGTTAATGTTTTTAGTGGCAAAGGCGCTGACTTGTATGCAATTTATAATGTTATATACAGCGGTCAAAGAATACGAATGACCGACATCTCCAAACTACTGGGCATGACCAACTTCTTAATATTATACTACGACATCTATTGATTGTAGAGCCAAATGGACATTTTCATGTGTTCTTATGCATGTGTAGGTGCATACATTTATTACACATTGCGTTAGCGTGTTGACTTTTCTCAAAAAATGATATACATACACCCAAACGCAATTACCGTTCGCCCCTTTGATAAGGCGAATGCGCATAAAGTATGGGCAATCAACTCGGTTACAGTTCAGCACTAACTAGTGACTACGGAGAGTGCACATCGATGAAATTCAAGGCAATTGACATATTGAAGTTCAAGGCAGCTACTGTGACACACGAGAGCTTAGGCATCAAGCTCAGTGCCAAATTTGTAAAGAAACAGATAATCGAGAAGGCTGTGCGAAGCCGGACGTAGTAGTAACGAGGAGCTGACCAATTATCTTATATTACTCGCGCCGCTAGCTCTCGAAATCTAATAGGATTACGAGCTCAAACGAGTCGTCGTTGAAGGTTGAGGTCTCAATAAGACCGGTCGTCCAGTACGATGGAGCGGACAAAGCTGGCCATAATCTCGAAGATTGAAGGAGCTAACATTCCACCAAGAAGACGTATTCGAATCGCTACCGGGGCCATGGTGCGCGACCGAATTGGACCCAGGTGCAAGTAGCTGCTTGGAAGGATAACTAGAGAACCGTACAGCGACTGATAGTCGCGTCAGTTAACACGTAATTGGACAACAGGTGATGCAGCAGACCGGTGGGACGTCTATGGGGACGTACCTATCCAAATGATTAAATGGCACGGTGAATTTAGACTCGAGCCCCACTAAGCGACGCTTGGACGCAGAGCTGGAGGCTGCACGGTGCAGTCATAATAGCGATGTATAAGGAAATCTGAACAATAGGATTCGACTGCGTACACGACTACGAACGGTTAGGATGACACTCGATGACACAGCTTTCAGCGGGATGCTAGTGTCATCTCTGCCTGCGGGCGAACGTTTTGACCGATTTTGTGGTCACGTAGAGTCTAGGCTTGATTGTGTTGACACCTCCAAAAAGAATGTCGAGATGTCGATTACTTACGACAAGGCTGATAAAGCTGACAAACGTTGTCACGAGCATTAAAAAGCTCAGATCGGGCAACACCATTACGATCACCAAGCAAGTCAATAGTGGCGGCGTCAACGTTGGCTTTAGCAAGCATCACGGGAAAAGCCGGGAGTACAATTAACGCCGGCGCGATGAAGACAGAAGATTAGAAGATTGCTTTATATGTCACAAGCCTAGGAACGCAGGATGTGGCTGCCCGAATAACGCCTTTACTAGATCAGGCCTAGCGAACATTATATACGCGAAGCGGACTGGCACACAACTGGTAAACCTCAGTCGAAACCCAATAATTTTAAACAAGCTTTCGCAAGTGTGACAAACACACCAAAGGAAGCCGAAGGCGCTAGATGAGGTTGTATGCGCCCACAGCCTCACGTTTAGCAGAATAGCAGCATGAATACCAGACCGAATGCTGAGTATACGATACTGGAGCAAACCGACACTATATTGGAGATAAACGGTACTTTGTGGAATTTTGGAACCTGACCTATACAGAACGCAAGGGGGAGACGGTGAATGGATAATGGTACAACGGCACCTGTTGGGGTCGGTGCAATCGACTTCTACTAGCCATTGAGGAGACCAAGTCGCACTTAGACTCGAAGATGTCTACTACTCACCCGAACGTCCTTACCTGTTCTCTCAGTAGGTTGTACGGACGCAGGGTTTCAAAGAGCAGTATAATGAAGCAAAAGGGCTGTACACGTTGAGCAAAAAAGATGTTGTTGCTTTCCAAGCGCCACTAAGACCGTGTGGACTTTGGATGTTCACAGCTTACAAGTGATTCTTTCCTAGGCTTTAGATGGCGCATATTCCATCCGCAATGGTGAAGTACGCACTGCGTGATAGCATTGAAGACTTGCAGTGCTGGCTTAAACGGTTGGGGCATCTATGCCATCAACATGTGAGAAGGGTGGTCGAACAGAACTTGGTAGAAAACATGATGCTCCGAAAGCGACAGTTTGCTACATGTGAAGCATGCCGATCGGGAAAACAACGAGCAAAGCCCGCGCAAAAGATGCTTGAGCGTGGTATCACCAAACGCAATCAACTAGTCTTTGCAGATTTTTTAAACTTCAACTGCACGAAATTTTATGAGTACTCAATATCATGGACGCGTTTTTTAAAATTATCACGGTGTACAGTAAAGGCAAAAAAAGCGAAGTGAATTCTCTGCTCAAGCGTTACAGCACTTGGGCAGAGTGGCAGATTACTAACTGCAAGATAAGGACGATATTTATGGATGGAGGCGGAGAATTCGTATTGTAATGCGCTTTTAAGAGCTCACATTGCGTTTGAAGATGATTTTACATACCCACTCAGCCGAACTAAGCCGGTGTCGAACGACTCGCTATTTGCACGCCACTTACCGCATGTGACGATTATCGTCAACGTGTGAATTCATTTGTTTAACCATCCTGTCAATTATATGCTTACTTAGACGACCTTCTTTAGAGAAGCCGTCCGATTCAAGACACGCGCATTGGAACTACGGATTGTAGCTTAATTCAGGTAATTCGTAATTTAGAACTTACGGTTTTAACTTTCGTACATTTAGATCGAGCTCTGCCATCGACACAAGGCCGAGGATTGATCGATAATTGCATATCGGCCGAAGTCGTCGACCAGTCCAATTGCAAATCGCCAAGTACATATCGGAATCAGAAGCACTTGAATGGACTGGACAATCTTCTCCACTCCACCTTTCGCCTTCTCCTCACCTCGCAAAGCCTTTGATGATGCGGTTTGCCTTCTTTGCTCTCCTCGTCTCAAGCGCAGTCTTCTTGCGCGGTGTCGACTCCGTGTCGGGCCCTTCGGACTCGGCCGCAGGTATGGTGGAGACACAGTTCACAGCGACGACAGCTGACGACAGAGTGGCATTGGAGAAGGACGAGGAGATACTTGTCGAGCTAAGAGGGTACCTGGACGCCCTGGCGAAGATGTGGCGTCGGGTCATAAAGGTCTCTACAGGGGGCGCAAGAGCGGCAGAAGACGCGGCGAGTCATGTGAGGCCATCTTTCGAGCATGGCGGGAAGTCGTTTAAGGCGACGCCGATCCAGCGAAAAGCTATGAGGACGTATGCCAGGAAGAACCCGTACAAGTGGCTTGCTGTGGCATACTACATAAGGGCCTGTTACTGCATTGTGGCGGGCGCGATCATTCTGTACGGCGCGTACTATTACGGGGCGCGCCCGTATGGGATTGGTGGCCCGGGACGCAACAAAAACTGAATCGAAACGATGACGTCCAGAGCAGGTTTGTGCACGGCTCTTTATGCTTCTTCAGTGATCGTCTACGGTAGAATGTGCATTCTCAGCAGTCCAATCCTAGCAATACACAACCATTCGAAGTGTTTCGCACTTTCGCCTTTTGTGAAGTGTGATGTGCGTTTGTGACACACGCAGACCAATACCTCGCAACGTCGACATTGTGCAGATATTACTTGATGTGTAAGTCACATTGCGTCAGCGGTTGATCGACCTCTGGAATGGCGAGAGCTAAAGGAACAAAAGCCATGCTGCTGAAAGGTGGCAAGAAACTGCGTAAATTGGCTCAATAGAATATATAGACGACATTTCTCCAGCCAAAGCGTCGCATGTTGCTCAGTGTAGTGGCGCCATTCCGATTATTACACGGCTCGAGTTGCTCTAGCTCGCATCTGCAATCGCGAAAACTGCGCCATTATCACTTTGAGCTCCTAACGTTGACAATTATGTGCATGTAACGAAACCTTGAGACTTTCTTTGTCAATCGTGCTTGGTGAAATTACTACGGTTTACATTGTAGTGAGTTTGCACCTCAAGGATAGCATGCTGCACTGTTTCGTGATAGGATGGATGCTCAGGCAAGCCCAAGTTACTTTCTTCCATGACAATGACTCGCGAACGAAATAGTTTACTGTAGTTTATGGTATCTTAATCCTCCTTCATGCTCCATAGCGAGACGGCGCCTTCCTGATTAGCTGAGCAGCTGACAGGTAGATGTGGATGAAAATCGAAATCAGCGATAGAAGCTTGATTTGGCAAGAAAGTCGACAACGCATGTTTCTCGCCGCGCTAAGTATTACACGGCAAGTGCAGTTTGTAAGCTTCACGACCTCTTCCAAAAAAAGAAACACCTCATCTGAACTACCGTACCTTAAATATGTACAAAGCAGAAGAATCGGCCACCACGAAATAGCCACCCGTTCCCAGAAAGCGTATTGTAGTATCGACTTCGATATTGCGTAATGCCAACGGCTTGTCCATCTCGTACATGCCTGTCAATTTTGGCTTCACATCTATCACGCTATCTTCAACTTCGCGAGAACCACAAGTTTGAGAGGAAACAGCAGCCACAATTGGTGCAACGAACCATTGCATCACGACGACAGCATTTTCGTGAGCACTCAATAGGACCGTTCCATCAGGAGATAAAGCGATTGCTGACAGGCTACCACATCCATCGAGTACCGGACCGCAGCAGGCAGCGAGATCGCACCGGTGTATCCGCCCTGGACAGGATACATTTATAAACTCGACGCTCCCCGTCTCGTTCCCGGTTATCAAAATGTCTCCCACGTTACTCCACGCTATGCACGTGAGTTGCTTTCCTTCCATTGGCAAATAATCTTGCGTTGGTTGGTCTACACCTCCATGCAAAACGACAACTTGCTGGATCGTGTTGTCCTCTTCATCCCGACTGCTAAGCAGACAAGCGGCAACCGGTGCTTCAGATGCACACATGAGCTGTTGCGCTTGCCAACGATCTTCGTTTGGCGGACACATCGTCACCTCCAGTCCGTCAGCATCCCATAACATCATGTCACCCTCGATCAGCGTGCATGCCAACAGCTACTTTGCAACATACACATATATAAATTGCTGCGAATAAAAGCAAGTAAGAGCACTCCTTTCAGACGTACCTGCCGATGCGGTGTTGGGCTGAGCCAGCCAAGACCAGTCAGTCTTGCCGGTAGCGTGATCGTCGACAATGTAGAAGGAGATACTGGATCTGCAGACCAAATGTCAATGTGAGTGTTCCCCAGCTTTGCAATCGCAAGATACTGGCCGTTTGACGAAAAGCGACTCCTCACAGTCATCACTGACTGTGTTGGTTTCCAGTCGTTAAGCATGTTAAATTCACGGATCAATGATACCCCGCCAGTAGTCCACAGTGGCAGCCTGCTGGGGTCTTCGTCGACAGCACTCAATGATGAAGCGATTGGTGAAAAGATCGGTGTCGTTGAGTAACAGCTAGTTTCGCCTTCCGGCACTACACTGTCTCCCGCTTCTTCCTCGTCATTATTTTTGTCGTAAGGCCCGTCGTCAATCAGCTCATCGGCTGGTAGATACACCTCCGCTATCCGCGGAATATCGCGTGGGTCAACACAAGCGGCTTCAACGTGTGCACTGTCGTCGTCACCGATACCAAAAAGTTCCCCAATGTCTTTCATTTGCTTCTGGGATAGCCCAACACTCGCTGTAGCTGCGCCGTGACTGCGACTTCGACTTCTGTTTTTGTTCCAATCAATCGGCGTGTCCACATAACTCGACGAGATCAAATGCTCGGTCAAACTATGCTGTACCATTGTGCGGAGAATCGAGTGCAACTGTCGACCTGCTTCCTCTAATTTCTTGATCTTGGTCGTCGCTTCGCTATTATACATTCGCAGCCGCGTCGCTTCTGACTGGCTCACTTTCAGCCGCAATTTCATCGCCGGCTCTTCTAGCGTTTCGAGCTGAAAAGCTAGCAACTTTGGCAATGGCAAGCTGCGGAAAACCAGCGATAGAAAGTTGCGCAAAGACGTCACATATGCTTCAAGCCACGACTGGCTAAAGAACTTCTGGAAATAGGAGTCGCTCTCAGGGTGCTCAATATACGGCAAGATGAACCAGCGACTCCATGTATCCATTCCTGACTCTCCATCAACAGCAGCAGCAGCACACGCGTTCAGCTTTTCGGCTTGCATCTCAAAAAACTCCATGGCTTTCTCTCGGTGTCCCGACTTGACCGCATTGATCACGTAAAGTCGCAGCAGTGACGTCTCTAGTTGTTGCAATATCTGTGCAAGAAAAGTCAATAGTTCATCAGCAAAAAACAACCCCAACTCGTTACTTTGTCGCTATTTTATCTTCCAGCTCCGTACCGAGGCGTACGATGCATCCAAGTGATGAAAAAAACGTGCATGAAAAAACTGCCACGTCTCGAGAACCGTCTCGAGCTGGAAACTGCAACCCACGACAACATCACACGGAGTCGGTCAACACCGACGGGAGTTTCAAGCAGACTCCAATCGACTCGAGAGTACGCACTTTTGCACAGCCACGAGCAGCTGAGAAATGATCTGCTCGGCATCAAAGCCCTGCGAGCGGTCGCGCTTGCGCTCGGCACTAAACACTTGGAAGCTCTATAGCGACACACGTGCACGTCAACAGTCTCAAGTCGCTCGCTGTTGCAATCACTAGAGAGGAAGAGACACAGAGACAGGCGCAAGCGAAGGCGCACCTTTGTAAAGCCCCGAAACAGCAGATACTCCATCACGAGTTCGTCCACGTGGGGCAGCAGCGCACTCGGGCGCTCCATGTCCGGTGTTGTCGCTTGTCGGTGTTGTTGTTGTTGTTGTTGGTGGTCGTTTTTACGTTGTGCACACCACTGCCACGCGCGACAAGCGGATATCACGTTTCAAGGGCGACGCGGCCACTTGGCAGGGCGAGGCAGCAAGTCGATATCGGGTATGACAGGTGTACGTGCACCCCACCACTTGCTCCCACCACGAACACCCCCTCCCCCACATGACGGGAAAAGAGCTGTCGACGGATGTTCAATGTGCCCGTTGGCCCCTCATGTCGTCGCCCAAAGAGACCGCTCGGAAGGCGCTGAGAGGTGCGACCCGCCGCTCCGACATCAACAGCTTCGGCGGCGTTCGTTGTCGGAGGCGCACTCACTCACTCGTCCACTCACTCGTTTGTTCCATCAGTGGCAGTTCATTGACGCGGCCGTCGCCACTCATAACGCAATTTGCCGTCTTTGAGTCAGTTGGTGAAGCAGCGGACACACATTTGCAGTCGCGCACGTGATGGGCCGACGTGCCCTTTTCCTCTTCGGGATAGCCTTTCTACGCGCGCACTTTGGCCATAGCGCGACGCTCGAACTGCAGGCGGCTGCGGTAGCGGCTGCAGACGCGAATCGGTGTGCCCAGAAGCCCTCGCAGCGCGTGGACTGCTACCCGCCCCGCCCAAACTTCCCCGCGCCCACGGAAGAGCTGTGTCTGGCGCACGGCTGTTGCTGGCAAAGTCTGGAGAACGGGGGCGTTCCCTGTGCGTTTGCCGCCGAGGCACCGCCCGGTGCCGCTAAGTGCGCGGCCGTGGCCCCACCGTCGCGTCTCGCGTGTCGCAACCCGCGATTTGCGCTAGCCGCAGTGCTCCGAGACGCCGACACGTGTGCATCGGCTGGCTGCTGCTTTGACGACGGCGACTGTTTCCAGCCCCTGGCCGAGGGGTACGAGCTATTGACGCTGGACGAGACGAGCAATGGCTGGCGAGGGACGCTGGCGCTTCGAAGTGGACAGCGCGGGCCTTTTGGAAACGATGCCCCGTTGCTGGAGCTCACTGTGGTTCGATTCTCGGCTCGGCAAGTGCGGGTTCGCATCACGGACCCTGCGTTTCCTCGCTACGAAGTGCCGAGCCTGCCTGTGCAACGCCGACAAGAGCAACGCGATGCTGCGGCAAGGGAGAAGCAGGACGAGTATGAGGTGCATTTTACGCCGTGGCCATTTGGAGTGGCCGTGACTCGGCGAGGGTCTGGAGATGTGCTGTTTAATTCGACGCCACCGGTGGAAAGCGAGGACGAAGGGAAAAGCTTCAGTGGCTTGGTGTTTGAGAACCAGTTTCTTGAGGTGTCGACGCAGTTACCGGCGAGCAAAGACGGTGGTGAGCCAATTTTGTACGGTCTTGGGGAGCGACTGGGATCGGCGCGTCTTCGAGCGGATGATGAGGGCGATCTATACCCGATGTTTGCACGCGCCCCGAACGCGTCTGCTCCTGTGCATACCCGAAGTGGTGGCGATAATTTGTACGGCGTTCACCCCTTCGTAATGCAGCTGGAACGTCAATCTGGTAATGCCCATGGTGTATTTGTGCTTTCGTCCAACGCAATGGAGGTTGTATCCCGTCGCGATGCACTGACGTATAGGCTTACGGGTGGTATTCTTGACATTTTTGTCTTCTCTGGTCCGACCCCACAAGATGTGGTTGAGCAGTACACACAAATTGTTGGCCGTCCAGCGATGCCACCTTACTGGGGCCTGGGCTATCATGTGGGTCGGCGCAGGAGCGACACAGCTTCAATCAGTAAGGCGGTGGAGCTGGTTACAAAACTTCGCATGGCTGGAGTGCCCATGGATGCATACTGGCAAGACTACGAGTACATGGCAGACAATGGACATGCGCTATCATTGAACGGAAGCAAGTTACCTTACCGGGAAATGCACTCGTTCATTGACGACTTGCATTTCCACAGCCAGTATTTCGTAGGCCTACAAGTTCCATCCATTTCACTGTCAAACTCGACAATGACTGGTGAACGTGGCAACAACCAAGTGGAGTACGCTGGCGTAGCGCCTACGACCGAGAATGCGTTTTTACTGAATGACGAAATCGAAGCTGATGAGGACGCTGCCCGCGGCACCGTCTATGAGCACGACGACCTGGACACAGGGTACGACGATACTGCCAGCAAACGTGGTGAGAGTGAGAATGGTAGAGGAAGTGGCACTCACCATCATTCTTACGTCGGATCGGACAACCAAGGTGGCCAAAGCAGTTGCAGCAGCTCTACTTATCCATGTGACCAGAGCAGTCGAGGGAGCGATAATAGCGACCGGAGTGACGGGAGCGGAAGTGAAGAGAGTGCAAGCGAGTGGAAACCAATCGAGCGGGGCGAAGCGCTGGATGTATTTGTAAAAGGAGTGAATGGCGAGCGCTACGCAGTGAAAGCTTCCCGACGTGGTTGGGCGGTGTTTGTCGATTTTTTCCATCCAAAAGCATCGAGCTATTGGCACGAGCAGCTCGAGCTGTTACACAGATACGTGATGCCTTTCGACGGCTTGTGGCTGGATATGAACGAACCCAGCAGCGTTTGCGATTGTACTTTGGCTGCAGAAGACGACCTGTGCGTTCACATATGCGAAGACAAGTATCAGACGAAGGCTACAGCGCCACGACCTAATGAAGCCGATAATGTGGAAACATCGACAGTAGGAGGAGACGGCGGCTTCATCCGCACAAACGATGTCAATTTCCCATTCGATCCGTATCGCCAACCATTCGCTCCCGGCCAAAACAATCGTGAAAAAGGTGGACATGGCAATCTGAACTCGGCTACACTTCCCATGGCAGCTCTACACCATTCGTCACTTCATTACAATCTCCACTCCTTGTACGGTCATGAACAGGCTCGCGCGACACGGCATGCGCTCGATTCGATTATAAGAAAGCGCAGTTTGCTGCTCTCTCGGTCAACTTTTTCGGGGAGCGGGCAATACACTGGTCATTGGCTAGGCGACCACGTTAGTGCTTCATGGGAGCAATTGCGGTTGTCGATTTCTGGTACATTGCAGATGAATTTGCTGGGTGTTCCATTGACTGGACCAAATGTGTGCGGTTCTCGAGGGCAATCTTCGCGAGAGCTGTGCGTGCGCTGGTATCAAGCTGCGTCTTTCCTGCCGCTTCTGCGCAATTACGATGGGAGTGGTGGAGAGCATACCCCCGTTGACTTTGATGCCGAAGCACTGAACATCATGCGATCGACGCTGCTGAGACGGTACCGATACTTGCCGTATATGTACACTCTCTTTTTCAAGGCACATCGGCTAGGCAGCCCGGTGGCTCGACCGCTTTCGTTTGAATTTCCTGATGATGAGCTCGCGCGAGGTATCGAGCATCAGTATCTGTTGGGTCCAGCTTTGATGATATCACCAGTGGTGCGTGAAGGCGCTATATCGTTGGAAGTGTATTTTCCCGATGCATTCTGGTATGATGCGCACAGCGGAAAGGAGGCACTAGATCCTGCAGCTGGGGACAACCGGCGTGTCAATTTGCTGACTCCGTTACCGAAGTTACAAGTGCATCTTCGTGGAGGTTACATCGTGCCTACACAGCAGCCGCTTTCCACGACAGCACTTTCTCGTCGTGGAGCTTTTACGCTATTAGCAGCGCTGTGTGTATCAGGGGAAATCCTAACGGCGTCTGGAGAGCTATACGTGGACGACGGCGATTCGCTGTCGTCTATGGAAGAAAATCGCTACTCGCTGATGCGTTTTGACGTGTATCGAAACACGAGCAACACGATCGAATTGAAGAGCTTGCTGATGGTTCACGGTTACGCTGGACCAGAAATGCATGCCGATCTGAAAGAAATCCGCGTTTATGGTGTGTACGGGGACGCTTTTGAGGCGAATTCTTCGATGAAGACAACAGTTCTTTCACCTTCAGGAGGATGTTTACATGAACGATCGGTAAAGGCCGATTATTTTGCGCAGTCGGGTATGCTGGTTCTCTCGCGGCTCGACATGTCCATTGGGAAAGAATTTCACGTCAAGGTTGTGGCTGAACCAGCAGCGACCGCTGAATCTGGAAAGAAGGGGAAATCAGTGGGCGTGAGCACGTCCGAAAAGTCTGGGAGCGGAGAAAATGAGGAAGGTGCGGCCGCGGGTGCTAAGGGATCGAATGAGGTGTCGAAGAAGAAGAAGTCGAAGTTTTCGATCACAGGTATTGTAGGGATCGTTGTGGGTTGTGCATTCCTGGCTGCAGTCGTTGTGGTTTTCTTATTGCGACGTCGGCATCAGGGGTACGATACTATATGACGGGCATAAGGCGATGGACGAAGACGTCGATGTTTGACGTCGATTACACGTAGTCACCAGTGCATGTTTTGCATTTGTCACGAAAACCACATTCTTTTAAGAAGTATATGCAATCATGCGTTCGTCACGAAAACCACGTTTTCTTAGGAATAAATCGTTTATTCAATGTTTCAGACAATGTCTCATGTCCTTTTCAGAGCTCATTAGTTTGCAGCTGAATGGGAAAATGAAAACGTCAGCTTTCCAAGCATCATCGACTAAGTCTGTCGTCCCAAGTAGGGTTCACGAAACGAAGAGTAAAAGTACTCAGCCATATATTTTCAATTAAATACACAGCACAATGAACGATTAAGAGAACTAATATTTTCAAACCACGATCCATACTAAATTAATTGTTACGTATCGTTATTCAATTTAAGAACAAAAGTTTCTCATTTGATGAAGAAGATGGAAAATGGCTTACATCACAATAAAATCAGTCACCCGATGGCTTGCGAATCGAAGACTACTCGACTACCCTATGTGAGCACATTACTAGCTGGATAGAGGACAAGCGTATGCTGTTGCACTTATACTTTCTTTTGTAAGACTAGATGAGGACTATGACGTTCTGAAATCACTTCAGCGTAATTAGATACATCCACATGGCATCACAAGCATGATGACGCAGTAAGTAAGGGCGGCCACACACTATGCAGGAGAAAGTATGAGACGATGGTAGTACGCACTCAACCCACTGTAGATACCACAGTTTCTGCTATTTCCAAGCTGAATTGTTGAGACCACAGGACCAATCATGGACTTGATTAGACGCATAATCAGACGGGGGGGGGCATTCCATCCCCTTATTCCTCTCACACTCACTGACCGGAACCGAAATTGAGGTAGAAACTGTCATTACTTATTCGGCAAGCATCGCAATACAAGCTAGCTATTGCTTCAATTTTATCGGTACAGGCATTATCGAAAAATGATGAAACGTGAGATACGCCTGATCAACTGGCACGTTGCTGCATCAAGGTATGGGGGTCTATCGATTCTGCTGCATTCCACTACTAGATCTCGACGTAACTTTATCTTAGTGAGAACAAAACATTCGCCGAATCGGTTAATAATGAGCTCAAGCCTTGTTGGCCCACACATGGACGATTCTCGGCGTCTCTGGTAATCTTCGCCGTTAATCGAATAGCTTTGTAATGTAGAATACTTCGATAGTAATCTTGGCGTTCTACGAAACAGTTTGCGATAAAAAAGCATAAGTCTCGTCGGTTGGATCGGTGAAAGGGCAAAGACGGATGAGTGGCCGTTAATTTTGGAAATGGTATCTGATCAAAGAAAGAGAACAATTGGGCTTGTGTCAAGTCTTTAGCTGCTAAGCTGTAAATGACGCTGTTTAGTGTAAAATGTGAAAGTTGACCGAAATATACACTCGCTGCATGAATTGCTCGACATATCGAGCGCCGTAACAATTTATCTATATTCTACGCAGATTAGTAGTCGATAAATGTTGCGTCTGAGTGCAAAAAGGGCCCGTTACATGTCAGCGACATTCGGAATCAAATTTAGTTCAACCCTTAGCAACAGCTTTATATTCGGCAAGTGAATTTGGACAACGTTTTTCGTTAAATGATATCATAAAACTACATGATAAGGGTCACATACGGCGCGGTTTATTGCACAAAATTTGACTAGGACAGACCATTATGAATCCAACTGTCGTCAGTCAAAAAGACGTGCACGATGAGTGGGGTGAGGATATTGTCAGCATACACGATCGAAGCTATATCCAAACATAAAAAGCGAAAAGATCGTTGAAAAAGGCTATTGACATGCTAGTATTCGTAATGTCAAAGATACAAATTGTGTTTTGTTTTGTTGCGTGCACCGTTTCACCCACAAGAGCACATGTGAGGAGTCAAGGCACACGAACGATTTTATATTGGTTGTAGCAGGTAAAAAATGTCAGGAAACTGAAAGGATCGTGTTACTTAGAGAAAGAAAGATACGAGAAGTCTCTCTAATTTGCACCAAAATTACATCAAGCCCTAGACCCAGAGAGTTGGCAGTTCATAGAACGAAACATTGGGTATCAATGAATAAATTGTGCTATCCTTCTAAGGCATGTGAATCACCTATCGAGAGAACTGGTAGCTCATAGTGCTTAAGCGCGGATCACATCATGATGCTGAGGAATATCCTTCTAACTTATTCTTAAACTGGATATACATAGATTTGACGACATCCCACTTAGCTTACATGCTAGTCAAGTAGAACTATACAGTTATGAAACAATGTCTAGAAAGATACATAATAATCAATGCACAGAAGCCAAGAAAGTAATAAACTTTGGAGCGTGACATCTGACTTCATATCGTCGCTCTAAACATTTTACAATTGTGGCAACAGACCTACCAACTGACAATATGACTGTTCAGATACCGGTAGAATTGAGCGTGATTTTATGAAGCATCACCCATATTACCCAGCTTTGCCTTCTTATTTTTCCATTCGTGTTTGTGAGCTACTATGTTGATTAAGGCGATACCACAAGCTATCTTGTCGGTATGTATGAAATAGACTTTTATAAAGTTGTTCAAGTGCGAGTCTTAACAGTGGCTTTCGGTGACTATATAGTGACGACTGAAACGACTTGGTGAGTTATATTCAGTTCACAGTTGATGTCAAAGTAGTTGACAGTTGACGGTATAAAGCGTAAATAGTTAAGGTATTAGAATACGGTGCCTTGTATGCAAGTGGCCGGTGTCCAATTTGCGTGAAAAAAGTGAACAAGCAAGCTTCGGCAGCAATTTGCTGCAAATATTTGTCAAAATGAAACATTTTAACATACTTTTTTAGTAAATTTGAAACGAACAAATAAATTAATTGATCTGAAACTAGCGCCAATAAATTGTGGAAGCGCAGGTAGAGCGGCTAAAGTTAGAAAGTGAAAGGATGAGGTCGGAGTGTATCGGGCTACGTGTTCGACGTATACATAAACACCGGAATACCAGCGGAGATGTGCATCGTACTGCTTAATGCTAAATGGAATGATTGCGCTTGTCTACAATGCATTCAAGCTGCTATCTCTAGATTCTACCCCACATCACAACTATCGTCGGCACTTCGTCAGCATTGCGCGCCCGATCACAGTTCTGAGTCCTTTTATATCTGCAAGCATCCAATGTGATATTCGAAATAGTGATAAAATTTCCTGCCAACTATTTGGTATAATGACTGATCTTGCAGCTTTTGTTCAACCGGAAAAATGACACGTTAGGTCGGACTTCCATATATTTTACTGCGTTATCTACCATGTCTCCACGATACCGCCGAGACGTCAGCTATACATTAAGATAGGACTCAATACGATACAGTAAGATACAGATGAGTAAGAAATGATTGATGTGGCCTTTGATTGCAATCAATTCTTGTGCCAGGTCGAGTTGAAAGCGTCAACGAACCTTTCTTTTTGCTAAAAAAAGATGTCGACGTCCAGGATATATCTGATGTATTTATTGACATGAGAGCGTATAATATAGAACAA